TTTGCTTTTAAATTCAAAATTTTGAGCATGACTTGTGTATTTGAGAAATTTTCCATGATTGGTCCATATCTAGCTATGATTTTGATCTTTTGAGGACTTTATTGCTTAAAATTTAAAAATTGCTTGACTTGAGAGTCCAATACTCCTTGTATGCCTTGTGGATACCATTTAGGAGTAAATTTTTCAAAAAATTGATATCATGCTTACATTTGTGGTCCACATCATCATGATTTTGTGATTGTTTTGAGATTCACTCTAGGATTCTACACTAGCACAGGCGCACACTAGCATTCATTTGTGGGGTATATGCTTTGTTGACTATTGAATTGGTCATTTCCCAATTAAGCTAGTAGTGCATTGAAAAATTTCATTCTTGATAAAGGTGGATAACAATCCCTTTTCACTAAGTAACCGGGATTCTAGCCTCATCAAGCACTGAACTTCTCGCGCCGAAAGGTGGAGGGCCCAAACTCTAGGTTAATAATTGAATATAAAAAATAAAAAAAAAAAATTGAATCTAAAAAAATAAAAAATAAAAAGAAAAAGAAAAAGTTGCAAAAGCAATAAAAAAGTGAGGATTTCTACCAAAAGGTGAGAAGTGGGAAATGATTAGATGGAGGTTGTCTTGATTTGTAGCCTTGTTGATTTGAGCTTGTAAGTCTGTAGGGGTGTTTGAACACCTAATGCCCTAAAGCCGTCTGGTTTGGGAGTCATTGGCCTAACGCTCGACCTCATGAATCACTAGAAAGCTTAATAGATCAACACATTGCACCATACCTCTATCTTTGATCCTATAAAAAAAAAAAAAAAAAAAAAAAATCGAGTGAAAAGAATAAGCGCACCTAGAACAATAAAGCTTTAATAAAAGGTTCACTTTTTATCTTGATGATCGGTACTAGACTTGTGTGCTAGTTTGAGGGTAAGGATGTGATTAATTCTTTAATTGGCTTAGATAGCAACACATTTGATGCCGGTCCACTCAAAAAGGATTCTAGAGTTGTTTTGATTTGCATCATTTTCTTGATGTGCGGAGGATCATATTTGCTTGCTTGGTGTTGAAATTTTGGGAGATTGCTTGGAAATGTTTAAAAAATTGCATACTTGAAGTAGTTTTCTCCCAATGCTTAGTTGCAATATTGGTGTCTCTTTTGAAAGAATGAGCTTAATGTTTGTGGGTATCAATTCTGGAAACCCTCACGAGACTTCACTCGTCCACTAGGGGTAACCTAGGGGTTTAAAAGGCTTGTTACATATGCTAAGTGCAATCGTGTTCCCTACGAAAGTGGCGTTATCCATTTATTGCTTTCCAGTTCATAGTTGTATAGTTATTCATTTCATTCCTTTACTTTCTAGTTCATTGCTAGGGACTAGCAATATTTAAGTTTAGAGGTGTGATGAGCGCTGAAAAGTGCGTATTTAAACCCCTTAGGCTTAGGCATTCTAGTACCTTTATCTATCTTACTTTACCGCTTTAGATTGATTTTGTGTTATTTCCATTTTTAGGCACTTATCCCGAAAATAAGCTAACTCAGCCAAATAAGTGCAGAAATGAAGCAATTCTAGGATGAATCAAAGAAAGGAGCCAAGTGGAAGCAAAAGATGGAATTCAACATCTTCGACCGATCTCATATCATAGTTCAATCGATCCAACATAATCAATCTCAGCACTTTAAGATGGATCTGAGCCATGATAACATTTTCAGAGATCTCAAAAGTTCGATCGATCCAATATCATTCTTCAATCGATCGAACTACCTTGTCCTTATCCAAATGATTGATCTTATCCAGTTGTACCACCTTACCAACCACGTTTGTCCTTTTCCCAAAATTATCTTCGAAATATCTCAGATTTGTTTTTATCCAAAAAGGCACCGCCATTGAGGATCGATCCAACTTCAGTTCGATAGATCTCAGCTATGTTCGATCGATCCAAGTCCAAAGTTCGATCGATCGAACTTCCTTCAGTGCGAAAAAGTTAAATTTCCAGCTCATTGAAAACTGTCCTTATCCAATCATTGGGGAATATTTTGTGCACGACCCCAGCTCATTTTGTGTGTTACCTGACCTACCTATATATAGAATATGATACACTTTTTGAGGGAGATCCATCCATCACAATAGAGCCTATTCTTAGGGAGGAAGAAATGAGGAGAAGGCTAGAGACACAAGCTTGGGAGCTCTTCATCAACCAATGAATAGATTTATTCCATGTATTTTGCCCTTGAGGGTTGGAGAAGCATTACCATGAGTGGCTAGACATCCTCTTGGGGCTAGAGTTAGCCCCAAGCATGCTTTTTACATCTTGATTTTGTGTATTATTGAGGGTTTAGTGGTGTAATACATGTTTTGGCATTTTTATATATATAGATCTTGTTTATTCAATGATTTATGTGGTTTAATGCTTCCAATTGATCATTTCATTCTATCCATATGTCTATGTATGCTAGAATAGATGTTCATGTGTTTGTCTCTATTTCTTGTGTTATTGATGCATGTCTATCTGTATTAATGCCATAGATCTAGAAATTGTTAAAATATAGTGCTTAATGGAATGCTCTTGTAATTTTCTTGATGATTCATGCTCATTTCTTGATGGATTGTGCCCCTCCCTTAGTTTAATTAGTTTAATTTCATGTCATTAGCTTAATTGTAGTATAGTGGTAGTATAGTTGTTAGATGGATGGATAATCCATGCTTGTTGTTTGATGTTTCATACTTTTGAATGCAAGTAGCATATGTTTCTAACCTTGTGGTGTAGTTGGCTTATGAGCTTAATGAAAGGATTAATGACTTGCTAGATATATTGTGCTTTTCACATGCTACTTAGATAATATATACTTACTTGTTAGATATATTGTGTTTTTCACATGTTGCTTAGACAATATATACTTAATTGGTCATCTTTGCTAATTGAATCAACCAAACACACACACACATCAATATTGCAATACACATTTCCCTCATTAGTCACTTGTTAAGGGTGTAGAAAAGTATTATTTAGTGGTGACATCGAAACCCCAAGATTTCTCTCTCTTACTTACTCTTTATTGTATTCAATTATTTAGTTTATTTTGCTCTCTAGTTTAATCAACCAACCAACTATTTGTTTGATCACTCGACCTACTAACCCTAATAGTGATTCCACAAGCTAGTACGACAACTCAATCCCTTGGGACGATCCCTACTCACTCTTGCTACGTTAGTAGTAGTGTTGGTAATGGTTTTTTTAAATTTAAACTTGACCCAAAAGGCTTTTCTTGAACCGCGCATTCACTACATTATTTTGGCGTATAGGAGCGGCTTTCACCGTCAGATTACTTTTTAGGACTTGAAAATTTTTCAGAAAAATAATTTTCTTTCAAACTTTTAGAATCACTCAATGATCAATGCTAGAAACAAATAAAAACTATAAACTAAGATAAAAAATCTTTTCGAATTTTTTTTGTAGTTTTTATTTTATTTTTATTTTTTTAAAACAAAAAAAAGAACATATCATTAAGCAGTTTAACCAAAGTCTTTCAAGTCCACATATGTTCAAATTTCTAAAAGAATTTAGAGAAATCTGTGAACGAAAAAAATTCGACTCCTTAGAATATTCAATTAATTTCAATTCTTAGAAAAATTATCACAACACGAAATTTAACTTGCAAATATTATAGAAACATTTAGAAATCAATCTAGTAAGTTCATGTGTGTGTGTGCAATCCAATCTCATCAATTTTTACTAAATCATTGTCCAGACCATATTGATCGAAACATCAAGATAAAATTGTCTATGAATAAAAATTCCCCAATTCAACTTTTCTCCACCTTTCTTTCCACCTTTATTTTTACTCATTTAGCTCCTCTCCACCTTTCTTTTTACTCATTAACTCCTCTTCAAAGTCTAATGGGAGCTTTTGGTCACATCTCAATAGATAGCCTTTTCCTAAACTAAGAATTCAGCAATTTTCAAAACTTTCTTTTCTTTTTAAACTGAATATTTTCATTTTATTTATTTATTTAAGCTCCTATTATTTTCAGACAATAACCTTTATAGCTTTTGTAATCAATATACCCTAGTCAACAATTCAATGATTTTCAATCAAATTTCTAAGATATGGACTAGTGTATAAAAAACTTATGAACTTAAAAGATTCAAATATAAAAATCTCCTAATCAATGCAAATTAACTTTCATTGAATAAATTACAAACCAAGAATATAATTTTAATCAATTTATCATGTGTCACAATTTACATTCAAACATAGATTATAAATTCTTTGAAAGAATTTTCACACATATATCATGAAGAATATAATCAGAAATTCAGAACCCTAACCAAACCCTAACTTGTGATCCAATGGCAACAAAATTTTCATTTAAGCACAAACCATGGTCACTAATTATCTTAGGACTCAGTTTAAAGGTAAAAGTCCTGTTGGAACTTAGTTCCATGGACTCAACAGACACATACTTGATCAAATCATCTTTTCTGATCCATACAGTTTTCACTCTCACTTCTTTGAAATTTATTTCATATTTTACCTATTTCTTAGTTAAATTTTAAGCTCTAGAAGTCTTAGGTGACACAAATTCTTTTTCCTCTTAGAATACACATTCTTCTTAGCATGAACATCATGAGAATGAATTTTAGAAAAATCTTTCTTTTTCCTGTAAAAATATGAATGATATTTATGTCCATTCTTACCACAAAAGGTGTAATGCAACAGTTTAGACACATATGACATATCAAAATGTAATACATCAGGCAAACATAGTTTAGGCATACAAACATTAGCAGGTTTAACAAATATTGTTTTACCTTGTTTACTAGATGATCTTTTTTCATATCCCAACCCAGTTTTGTCATTCACATCTTTACCCATGTTTATAATTTTATTCAAACTACCTTGACTTGAAGTAAACCCCCGTAGTTTATATTATGCAATTTTCAAATCAGTTTGAAGATCCTCAATTTTCATTCCAATATATTCTTTCATATAGTTAGAACTACTTACCTTCTCTTCAAGAATAATAATCTTATCATTAAGCTCAGTGATGACTGAATTGCTTTCAAAAGCTTTTCTTTTTCCCTCATTAATATGTTTTCTTAGATCTTCATTCTCCCCTTTTGCTTGGATAATTTCCTTTGTTAACTTTTTGATAGCCTGTTTGACTTCAATGGTTTCTTCGACCATCTTCTTCAATCTTTCATTATCCTTTTCATCCTCTTGTACATGTTCATCACAAACTTCATTGTCTTCATTAACTGAAATATCAGAGTCAGATAAAGTAACAATATGAGGACCTTTTTCGAGAAAAGCGACATAAGATAAATCATTGCAATCATCATGAGGAGAATCATTATCACTTAAAACAGAATTTTCAGCACTAGAAACTTTTATTACTTTTCCTTTATTCCTATCCTTTTGCTTTTTCCTAAGACTAAGATAAACATTGGATGCCGCCACCATAATTCTAATAAGTGAATTCAGTTTCTTTTTATTCTTCTACTTTCTTTTCATTAAACCTAAATTTTGACAACTTGTCAAAATTTTGAGGATTGGCCATGTTCCCATTCCTTTTCCTCTCTTGTCTTTGTAAGATCTGATTAAATTTCCTTAATAGAAAAGCAAAATCATCATCAAAGTTGTCATCGACAGAATTCTCAACCTGTGTTGATTTTAAAATAGGATTCTTCTCCTTCTGATTTAAATCAAAATTTGATAAGCGCTGAAAAGTGCGCATTTAAATCCCTTAATCTTAAATATTCTAGGACCTTATTCTATCTTATTTTCCCGTTTTAGTCTAATTTCATGTTATTTCCCTTTTCAGGCATTTATCCCCAAAATAAGTCAATTCAGCTGAATTAGAGCATTAAAAGAAGCAATCTCAAGCCTAGTGGAAGAAATGAGCAAAATGGAAGCAAAGTGGTGAAAAAGCCTTCTCTGATCAATCGAACCAACCTACGATTGCTCACACTATGATCGTTCCAACCCTGCCATGATGGATCGAGCCCTTTGTCCTTATCCTCAAGAAAATTTCCTATTCGATTGATCCAACCTTTCCTCCAATCGATCGAACTGTTTTGATCTTATCCTCACCTACCACTTTTGTCCTTTTTCCAAAAATATCTCAACCTTGTCCTTATCCAAAAAGTGCGCCGCCATGGTTCGATCGATCCGAGCAACCATGTGATCGATCGAACTACCTCAAATTATGTGAAAAATAAAGTTCAAGCAAAATTAAAGGTGTGCTCGTGGTGCAATCATTTAGAGGTCCTAGTGCACGAGGTCTGACCATTGGGTGTGACATTTGAGCTACCTATATAAGGATTTTGGCTATTTTTAGTAAAGAAGGTTTGTTAGAAAGAGAGACTTGGTAAGAGATTAAAGAGACAAACATACAATTTGGGAAAGTTCTTCCACTTATCTAAGGTTTCTATCAAGAACACAAGAAGAGGAAGATGAATTCTACCATGGAGATAGCCTTTGAAGGTTGGATGACAACATCAATGAGTGGCTAAACCATTCTCTTGGGGCTAAAGATAGCCCTAAGCATGCCTCCTAGACTTTGATGTTTTGTAATTAATGGGGATTTGTGTTGTATTTCTTATCTTAACATCTTATTTATATAAATCTTGTTTCTACAATGATTTGTGTAGCTTAATACTTCCAATTAATCATTTAATTATATCCATATGTCTTTGTATGCTAGAATGAATGTTCATGTGTTTATCTCTAGATTTTGTGACATTAATGTATGTCTATGTGTGTCGATATTATGAATCTAGTGATGGTCAAGGCAGGGTGCTTCAATGGATTACTTTTGTGGTTTATTTGATGGTTTATATTTATTTCTTGATAGATTATGCCACCTCCTTAGTTTAATTAATTTAATATTCATGTCACTAGCTTAGTTGTAGTATAATTGCCTTACTTTCTTAGATAGGTGGACAATCCATTCTTATTGTTTGATGTTTCATGCTTATGAATGCAAGTGGTATATTTCTCTAACCTAATGAGTGTGCATTAATTGTAGACTTATGGAAGGATTAATGACTTAATTTGATATATTGTGCTATTTACTAGATTGACTAGACAATGCATGTTTACTTAGCCATCCATGTTTAATATTTCAATTAATGGCACACACTTTCATTTACAACACACGATTCCCCTAATCCATCAAATATTAAATGTCTAGGAAGGTAATGCTTAGTGGTGAACTCTATGACCCAAGACTCCTCTTTCATATTCTCTATACCTCATTTGTTTTAATTTTTTTACATTGCATTTCTTTAGTTTAAAGTGTAGTATAATTCAACCAACAAACTCTCTTTTGATCATTCGGCCTACTAATTCAACATTAATTCCAAAGTGTCGTTCATTTCTCTTAGGACGATCCTTACTTACTCTAACTACATTAATAGTTAGTAGTGGTAGTGGCATTCTATAAATTCAAACTTGGCCACACTACATTTACCACTTTTGTGCAACTAGGTACTGACCACACCAAAATTCTGCATCTCAATATTTTTCAATGAACATACAACTTCATCAACTTTAGATTTAGACAAATTCCAATATTCAGTGATAGTTTCTACCCTTATTTGAAATCTTTTAGGTAAAGACCTTAAAATTTTCTCACAGATTTTCTTATCATTAACCCTTTTGCCTAAGTGACGTAGTTCAGAAATTATTTCAAGAAAATTAGAATAAAAATTAGAAAATGATTCATCTTCTTCCATCACGATGTTCCCAAAGTTATGAGAAAGCATCTGGATTTTGGATAACTTCACTTTTGAAGTTTCTTCATGAGTAACCTGCAAATTATCCTAAGTGTCTTTAGCAGTTTTACAATAAGAAATTCTAAAATATTCAGATGGAACAACAAAATTAATAATTGCATATAAAGCTTTTCCATTAGCATCATTATACTAAGTTTCAACAGCAGTAAAAGCAAAAATATTTTTTTAAACTTTGACTTCTTCACCATTCACAGTTTTATCTTCTGTAAGTGGTGTATAGCCAGATTCAACAATAACCTAAGTTTTACCTCTTGAATTTTGCAAATAAGCTCTCATCCTTGATTTCTAAAAATTGTAATTATTTTTTTCAAGTAAAGGACCACGTTGATTAGAACCACCTTCTTTCAATGTATAAGACATAATTAAAACAAAATTTTGAAATCAATCAAAACTTTCCACAAGGATCAACTCATTATGTAGAGATTGGCTCTGATACCAATTTGAGAGTTATACGCAACGGAATATTTAGAAAGTTTTGTATTTTTTGAAACAAATCTGTATCTTTCTAACTTTTCTTATTTTAGCAATTAATAAATTAATATCATGCAAGATAAAATTAAACAAAGTAAAGAGTTAGAGATGACACTAGGATTTTTAGCAAGGAAACCCCAGTTAATAAAATATGTCAACTGTTTCCGGGAAAACCCTCGTGGATTGTGCAGTCCTAAGTAAACTAATCCACTATGTTTGAAACAAAGTACACTGAACTTTGACTCTGGCTCACACCTTATCATTCTACCAAATACCAATTGCAGATAATCATCTGGCTTTACGACGTCTCGTCCAACTGCAAATTAACCTCAGGTTTATGCTTGATCTTTGTAGAAAAGTAGCAGGTAGATTAAACAACACTCCTCGAATGCTTTGGCCCTTCGAAGTATGATCGCTTTTAATTCTGTTATTCAATATCTGAATTCGATGTAAAAGTATATCTGCTTTTCTCTGATCAATGTAGATGCGACTGTATGGTCACAATCAAGATTTTGAACAACACAACTCTAAACTCATTATGTGTTTATATGTATATTCTAGAAAGATGACAGATAAATCTCTTAGATTTTCTGCAAAAATAATCTTTTTAAGGCTTTTATGAATAATGAAGTTATAGTGATAAAGCCATGAATAAACCTAAATGTGTTTCAGTGTTTATATAGAATTTTCAAAGACCTTATACTTCTAAAAATAAAAGAAATTTCGTGCATAGGACTTTTGGAAACCAAATAGGAAGTTCAAAACTAATTAGGACAAAGTTTCCTAAAACTGAAACAACAGTGGTACTGGTAGCAGGATGTTGGTATTGGTTCCCAAAGAACAATATTGAATTTTCAAATCTTAGCTTCTTGAACCGGTTCCTAACTTGTGGTACCGGTTCCCACTTGATAGAATCCAAATAGAATGTGGAAAAATTCTGTTTTTGGTAACTTGAAAAATATACCTTGTAGGTATTTGTCCTAAGTAAGAAACGACTTCCTAAAAAGTTGTTCTTTCCTTTTGCAATGATCTCAGTATTTTTCTGACGAACAACTTTCCAATTCCAAAGTCGATGTCAATCCTAATATGGTAACTTGAATTACAACTCGACTACGACTTGTTTTAACATCGAATATCTCACATATAATCCCCAAGTAAAATAAATAAATAAATGGAATAATGTAGAGGAAAATATCGGGACCCATACGGTGCGTAAATCGAAATACGTCAAATTAATAAAATAAAAATAACGGGTAAATCCAAAAAAAATTCAAACGTTACAATCTATCATCCTTAAAAAGATTTGTTCACCAAAATCTATCCTCCTTAAAAGAAAGGAACCCAACGGTCACTTGCTCAAGGGACACACCACAAAACCCTAAAGACAACACCTCATAAACATCGTTGCCCAGCATACAGGAAAAATAAGAAACGGCCTCAGCCCTCCATCACCACCAGCGCAACACTCATCAACCCACACAGGTGCTTACCATATAACATCTCAGCATTAAACCAACGGACTTCTCACCAGGTTTGGCTTTGACATCGAATGCACTCTACACAATCGTACAAAATGTACCGAGAATTCACAAGGATAGAGGTCACAGAGCCGCTCAACACGTCAATACTAAACCTCATTTAGTCCTTAAGAGAATATGTATAATCTAAGACAGTGAATCCTAACCACGACACGACACATTCTAAACCCGAGACAGCAGGTTCCCAACAACACTAGTCTCGTCATCCACCGCACAGATACACCGACACATAACCACACCAGTGGTAGTCAACCGCATGGTCAAACAATCCAAGCATTCATTGCCTTCCAAAATAGATAAGGAAGAACGACCAACCAACAACCGTAACTGGGACAAATCATCCAACCCGCCAAATGTACCAGCAGGTACTAAAAAAATAACCCCTTAAACATAATCCAAGGATCCATTTATCAACCTACTGAACCTCACTGGACACGTAGTCCCGTACCAAGCACACTCGCATCTATCACTTTCCTAATTTTGTAATTACAGATTATTTATGCAATTATGATTGGATAAAATCAATAGTCAGTAAGGTTAACCTACACACCGATAAGTAGGCAAATCTTGTCCATATGTTTAGCTTGCTCTTTTGATTAATTTTTAAATTAATTTAATTTTACCAAATTAAAACTAAATCAACCATACAGAGCTA